TAGGCTCTTTAACTTGCACCTGCTGTCTTTCAGATCTGCTTTGTGCTTGATAATACAATGGAGTTATGAATAGAACTTACAGCAAATACTAATCATTGCAGATTAATTATAGTACAACAGAAACTGCCTCACACATACCAAGAAGAACTGCCCACAATGTCAAGAAAACAGCAGAGAGCATCAAACATTACTTAAAACAAAATAAATCAAGCCTTTTTCTAATACAGCAAATCAGATTGCAGAACAAACAAACACCCCAGACTGGAGGCAAAAGAAATACACTGATGTGAAGTTATATAAACAGCTACTGAAGAAGTCACAAATGATGTAATAATCGAAATCATAAATAAAGAGCTACAATAATTTAAAAAATCAGCACAAGACAGAGAGGGCACACCAATGTAGCATTTCCAACTGGAAATAATAAAAAACTATGAAAATTCAACCCAGAATATCAAAGTGTAAATGTCAGAATTCCCCACCCACTATTGATGTTGCTGTTAGGTGCTATGTAGTTGAATATGACCTGTATCTGAACCCTGTCCTACCCTATGCCATCCTCACACTTCCTGACACACTAGAGCCCATTGCAGCAGTCACTGGACTCTATGAAGAAAAATGTGGCATCAAGATTGGAGGAAGAATCATCAATAACCTGTGCTATGCAGATGGCACAACCTTGTTTGCTGAAAGTGAGGAGGACTTGAAACACTTACTGCAAAAGATCAAAGAATACAGCCCAACAAGCTGGAGAGATAAAAAGCCGAATAGAAGAGGTCGGAGAGTCATGGAGCTAGAAAAGAACAAGTTCAATGGGAATGTACTAGTAGAAAGAACAGAGATAAATTAATGGAAAAGAACGAAAAAAATGGGTTCCTGTGGGATAGCATCAAACATAACAACATTCCTGTAATAGGAATGTCAGAGCAAAAGGGAAAGGAAAATCACTGAGAAAATTGTGGAAGAGATACTAGGAAAAACATCCCAGGTATCATGAAAAATTAGAAAACCCACATTTAAGAAACTCAACAAACATAAAATACTCTAGACCCCAAAAGAATAACATCAATACATATCATAGTCAAATTCTCAAAAAATCAGAGAAACTGATAAACAAAGGAGAAAGGATTGGATTAAGTTATGTTCATAGCAGCATTATTTATAATAGCAAGAAAATGGAAACAGGCCAAATGTCCATTAGCAAACTAATGGATTGAGAAATTGTGGGACATTCACAAGATAGAATACTATGTAGCACTAAGGAATAACAATTTTGTAATGTGTTATATGACATGGGATGCCATTGCTCAAGAGGCGAGATGTGCACCTGATCCAGGCCATGGTCTTCACAATTACTTGTTATGCATCAGAGAGCTGGACAATGACTAAGGATGACAGTAGAAGACTTGATGCCTTTGAGTTTCAGTGCTGAAGGAGAGTATTGACCATATCATGGACTGCCAAGAGAACAAGCTGATCTGTCCTGGAGAGGGGAAAACTTAAGTTGCTCTGTGGAGGCTTATTTTGAATCTGTCTTCCCCCCCCCTCCGAAGCTCTTTTTTACATATTTTGGGGCTAGTCCTTGGAGAAGGTCATCATGCTTGGGAGGGTGGAGGGACAGCATAAGAAAGGAAGATACTGGATGAGATGGATTGATACAGTGACTGGGGTAATGAAGGTAGGTGTGTTGGAGACAGGGAGATTGGCTCAGGACAGGGCAGGTTTCAGAGATACTGTGTGCATAGAGTCACTATGAGTAGCAGTTGACTTGACAACAATGTGGGAGGGTCTAGAGATGCTATGTGAACTAACTCCATTTCTTCAGGACAAATACTGCATAAGATCATTATTGTAAAAACAGAAGGATAACTAGTAAGATGTGTATAAATGTCCAAAAAAATGCAAGGAGAAAGAGGGAAAAGGACAGAAAAAGGGAAAGGTTGAAAATCATTAAGATAGTAGATTTCAGTGGATAGATTAGAGGGTGGGTGAAGGAACTTCAAAAGATGAAGTAATAGGCATAGACCAATGGTAATGAGTTATATAAAAGACAATGTCATTGTGTGAAACACAATATAAATGAAACAGATCATGTAAAACACAATGCATATGAATGAAACACAATGTAAATTAATTATTGTATGAAACCAATAAAAAATAAAGAAACAAGTACTGGACCACCCACTCTAGTAAAGTTAAATTATTCACAACATTCTTCCTGCAAATTCTGTGCCCCAGCCAAGACTCCCTTCAGTTTCTCAAATATACCTAGGTCTGTAAAATCTATTTCCTAAGACCAGGGCTAAGGACCTGCATTTCTGTCCTTCCTTCTCCTCGGATTGCTTTCACTGCCTTCTTCACTCACCTGGAATCCATTAATTGTTCTGATTTAAGCCAAGTGTCCTCATAGGCACTGCCTAGGAGTATGTCTTTTTGAGATGCTAACCGAGTCACCTAGAATGTTCCCTGCCATCTGAGCACTGAATTCCTCTTGCATTTTTACACTTTACTGCTGTTACGTTAATTGATCAACACCTCTCTGTGAAATGAGGAGGTATTTTTACCACTGTGAAGAATCTTCAGAGTAAATTACCTCCCCAATTACCTCAACATGGCTTTGACAAACGTGTCTTTGTCTTGTGTCTCTTCCATCATGGCCCTGAAGACAAGGATTAAACATGATCCCCTCCAACTTCACTTTACTTTCAGGTCTTCCCAATAGTCTAAGAAACAGGTGATATGAAATGAGCCTGAGGCAGAAGTCTCTAAAATAAAAGGGCTGTGCAGAAAAGTCTGCCCAATACTTAAAAAAGTTTAGAGTACAACCACAATGCTTCAGAATTTTTCACAGGTGATCTATCTTAATTTCAAATGAGAAGTAAATTTCCCAAATACATTTATATTCATGAAAATTACTAAGAGCAGAAGAATGTCAATTTTGTTCTCTAACCTCCACCGGAAAAACATGTTCCTCTGATCCCACAAGGGCAAACTTCCACCATCTTCATTCTTTTCCAGGTCACAAATTCTGAACTTCCATAACAAGTTCGATGAAAACAAATAAGATGTGACATCATACCCAACGGACAGCCCTTGACCTTGACACTGCCAATTCAGAAATTCTGAAGTAAAAATAAACAGGGAATTTCAGAGTGTGAGTGTTAGGGAATATGAGATGTCTCACACAAATATTTGGATGGAAAAATCATTGAAGTGGATACAGCATTTATGAAAGAAAAGCATTAAAGTCAACTATGAAATATAACTCATAAATATTGCAAACATTTCATCAAACAGACAAATTCTAAGAATCAAGGAAGTATTCCAAACATAATATTTATTGAAGAGATGATATGGTTTTGTTGAAGACATTGTTTACAGGGGAAAGAGGCTTAAAAATAAGATGGAAAATGCAACATACTTGATTTTTCTGGCAGTATCAGTACCTGAATAATACATTTCTCTCAAGGAATGTACAGATATCACACCAATATCAATTAACTTTGTTTAATGATTCAATTTTATTTTGTCTTAAGAAGTAAAGGGCACAAAACCAAGTTTAGCAGAGTTATATAAAGAAAACAAGGAAAGGGAGGGATTGCTAATTGGTGGTAAATTTATTACAAAAGTCAGATTATAAACTAATATAAAAAAATACATCTACAACAACAACCACAACTCAAATTGAGCCAGTATGCAGCATGTGAAACCCACCAGAGTCAATGAGACCACACCAACCCCACTCTCTTCTGTGTTGGTGAACATCTGACCTTTGCCCTGGAACCAGATAAAGGGTTTCTCACACCAACAGTGCAGTCAGCTGTGTTTCCTCTTCAATACACATGCAAATCCCATGTCCTTCAAATGTTTCCCATAACCTTTTTCTTTTTAAGAAATAAGCTTGCTCACCTGAGCAATGCTGAGCAGCAAAGAGACAGTCCTTTGAGATATATGAGCGCTGAGGGCAGCCTTAGTGATTGATTTTATAAACATAATGTATGAGAATGAGTGTATGAAACACAATGTGAATAAAGAATAGCGTGAAGCACAATGTATATGAACTTCGTAAGCAAACCAATTAAAAAAAATTAATGTAAAATTTTTTTAAAAGCAGCATTGAGATAAAGGATCCACCAGTTGAGGTGCAGAGAAAGATAGATTTTGGTACCACTGAAAGATTCTGATGAACTCTTGTTACAATTGGGAAATCTCACTCCAAAAAGCAAGAATTAAGAAGAGGAAAGTAGAATGAAGAGTCTTTCCTTTCAATATTTTTAAGACAAAAGTATTTTTTCAAGGGGATGTAGATGTCAGGTCAAACCAGAAAAATAAAATAGCAACAATAAACATTTAAGTGAAATGGAATGTTGGGCCCTGAACATCCAAATAGTTGAGCACTAACTAAAAGGCTGGTAGCTGGAACCCACCCAGTAGGTCTGCAGGTAAACAGGGTAATCAGCTTTTACAAGGATTATAGCCAGAAGCCTAGACGGGGTGGGCCTACTCTGTCCAAAAGGGTAGTTATGAGTTGAAACCTACCAGACAACACTAACCATCAACAGATGAGCAAAGCAACACCTTAAGGATTCAATAAGTGATAGTGTTATTAATTTGTACAAGTAATTTCAGTTGTAAAAGTCTGTTATGAATATAAAAGGAATAAATGGACTTACATAAAATGGGAGATAAAGGCAATAAAGAATTCTTTTACTTCCACGCGGCCTGGTTCTGATTTTTAGAATGGTATACTAAGTCAGGTTGGTCTTGTTTTGTGGACATTCATTAGCTACTTCTGAGGGAAGGAAGAGGAGCTGAGCTGACCCACCTGTGGTGTTGACAGGACAGGGAAAGGTGGAGGGGGCAGATGGCGGGAAAGAAAAGTCCCCACACTCTGCATGCCCCAAGGGGACAGTCTTTAAACTGCACTTTAAATGTTAGTTCGAGACCACAGGCAACGCCATCACCACGCACGTGTGAGTCAGGACCACAGTGTTGGCTGCTCAGCCGACCACCGAGCACCAGAGCACCAAGGTCCACACCAACACCTGGAAGCAGACATTTCTGTGCAGAGAAGAGGAAGATGCAGGCGTTCGGCACACCAGCGGCTCTGCTTTGTAGGGTCTATCTATCTCTGGAGGTAAGGCCGTCATTCCTTGAATCTGAACAGTAAGGAGACAATAACAGTGAGTGACTGAGGAGATGAGCTCTGGCCGAGTTTGCCTATGGGATAGAGAGGAACTGTCTGACAGGACTCTGGTAGCATCACCCACAGTGAGCTGCACTGCTTACCTCAAGGCCACATTTATCAGGTGGTCTGAATCCAGCAGCAGCTCCATGGGAAAAAGATGGTCATTCTACTCGCGTCTTTCTCCCGTGAGGGTCACCATGATTCAGAACTGACTCACCAGCAGTGAGGTTGAGGGTTTTGGGGTTTTCTGGTTTTGGTTGGTTCTTTTTTTAATCTTTATGAGAACCGATTGCCAAGCCTTGCCATAACACTGGTTTTCAAGTAAGTTTTCCTTTTTACAAGGAGGGGAATCAGAAATTTTTATTCAACCCAAGCAATCAGTGACCAAGTATGGAGCAGAGCAAACAATAACCAATAAGCTTTATGACTATGTCTCTGCTCCCTGGATTTTCCTGTTGTGGATCTGAGAGGAGAACATAGGGTATCTTGATTTTCAGATTAGAGCATGCAGGGCTCACCGACCACTCCGCATTGTCCGTCTTGGAACATCTCACGTTCACAGGCAGGCCCAGGACAAGCTTATTGAAGGAGACACCTTCCTTTTTAGTCCATTTAAACTTGTTCATCGCATCCATGAAAGAAAGGTTTTTATATTGCTTAGGGCTTTTGATAATGAAAGGCCAGGTCCTGAATTTAAAACACACAACCACAGTTAGTCACATTTATATTCATAGCAAAAGCATATTTTCTTTGCTTTTCAGCATCCTTAAATAGCACCCATATTTGATCAATTTTATACATACAAATAATGCAATACAGAGCAATTTAGCAATTCCTAAAAGTATCAATTAAGAAGTCTTGGAAAAAATTACATTTCTAGTTTAGGAAGCAGATATGCACTTGCAGTATTTAATTTTATGTGTCAAGTGATTTGGATGACATCACCTAGTTATATTTGCATGTAATTTCCAATCTGTTGAATTTAAATAAAGGAGTCTTTGCAATTCTGATATTTGGTAAGAGTATTTTAGTATCTATTAAAATATATAAAAATCTAACTGTATATTGCTTATCATCACCATTAGATAAATCAGAAATTGAAAAATATCTCAATTTATTACAATGTGGTATACTTTTAAATTTTTACAATGATTTTTATATCAATACAGAGAATGTATTTGCCATTTTGATGTTATCCACAGGTAAAATTTAGTCAGGACAGTTACATCAATCACAATGCCCAACCATAGAATCTCATTTAACATTAATTTGCTGTTAGTTTGATCATTCTGGCCACAGAGCCACTATCACAACTCTCTGGGCACTTAAATAAATTGTTGTTGCTCTTAGGTGCCATCAAGTCAAGTGTGTCTCATAGCAATCCTATGAACAACAGAGCTGAACCCTATCCTCTCCTGTGCCACCGTCATCATCTCTAACACACTTGAGCCCATTGCTGCAGGCACTGTGTCAATCTATCCAGTTGAGGGTCTTTCTCTCTTTTGTCGACTCTCCACCTCTCCAAGCATGATGCCCCTCTCAAAGGAATAGCCTCTCCTAGCAGCATGCCCAAAGTATGTGAGACTAAGCCTGATGCAATGATGTTAGTCTAGGGACTAAGACATGCCTGATCCAGGCCATGTCTTCTCAATCACTTGTTATGTATCTGAGAGCTGGTCAATGAATAAGGCTGACAGAAGAAGAATCTATGCCTATGAGTTGTGGTACTGGAGATGAGGATTGCACATCATATGCAATCTGCCAAGAGAACAAACAGATCTGTCCTGGAGAAGGTGAAACCAGGTTGCTTATTGCAATCAAGGATTTCAAAACTTCGTCCCACATACTCTGGGCATGTTGTTAGGAGCTGACAGTCTTTGGAGAGGGACATGATGCTTGGAAAGGTAGATAATCAGCACAGGAGATTCTGAATAAGATGGATTGACACAGTGACTGTGGCAATGGGGTCAGGTGTGTCAGAGATGGTGAGGTCAGCTCAGGATAGGGCAAAGTTCAGAGCCATTGTTCACAGGGTTCCTATGAGTCATAGTCGACTCAATGGCACATAACAACAACAACTTTATCATGCACAATGCCCTTTGCCAGGGACAGGTTCCTAATGTCTCCCAGCCTGAGGGACTCATCTTTTGACACTTTATCAGGCAACGTTCAGCTATTATGTTCTTCCAGGCCAGTTTTTATATTAGTCTGGAAGCTGGGCTGAAGCCAATCTACCATGATTGATTCTGCTGGTGTTTGAAATACCAATCGTATAGCATCCAATATCCAACTAGCTGACTACCAACCATCATACTGGTACACGAGTGGTAGATAGTAATAATACCAAAACAACCAGCAGTACTCAGAGTCTCTGAGTGGTGAATAAAAATGAATACATTCAGCTGCTCAAAGAGAGGTTGGCAGGTAGTCTGACCAGAGGCACCTTGGAAGACAAGCCTGGTGATGTCCTTCTACAAAGTCAGCACTGACAAGCCTACGGGGCACAGACCTACCCTGACACACATTTTTTTTTTTGGTGCCAATTTTAAATACACTGACACACATTTTGAGTTAGATTCAGCAGAAGCTAATTAACACCTGGCTAAATGAAATCTCTTTTTTTTTTC